GCTCACTGGCTGAGCGTGGTGCTGACAACACCAAGCCAAGGGTTGAGATCCCCTTACCGGTCATCTTTAAAAAAAAAAAAAAAAAAGAAAAGAAATCCAGGAGCAGCTCAGCTAAACGGTTCTGGCCCAAGGTCTCTTGTGAACCTGCCATCAAGGTGTCGGCCAGGCCTGCAGTCTCCCGACAGGGCTGGGGCCAGCGGATGCACTTAGAGCTCACTCCCGGAGTTGGGGTCAGAAGGCGTCAGTTCCTTGGCAGGTGGTTCTGTCCATGGGGTGGCTAACAACGTGGTTTCCACCAGAGCAAGCAATGAGACAGTCAGAGAAGAGGGACAGAGAGAACCAAGACCGAAGCTTCAGTCCTTCATCCTCTCATCTGAGAAGGGACACACCATGGCTCGTTGATTCTGCTGGTCATACAGATCAACCCTGCACATTGCGGGAAAGGACAGGGTGTGAATACTGAGAAGGACCATTGGGGACTATCTTGGAGGCTGGCTCCCACTCTGCCCTCTAGCCCCCAACTGAAAATACATTCACCCCCTCACAAGGAACACAGAAGTCTCATCCCATTACACCATCAGCTCAAAGTCCAGAATCTTATTATCTTCAGGAGGTCCAGGGGCAGATGACACTCCTAGGGTAGAGTTTACAGCTCTCAAACCCAGTTCCTCCTGATCTGCAGGCCTGGGGTCTAAAACTGTGGGGTCTCTTTTTCTCACTTATGTGTATACAAGCATAGGAAAGCCTGGTGGGACATACAGAAAACCATGTCAGCCATGCTTACTTATCTCTGGGTATTGGGGTTATGGGTGACTTTTAATTTTCTGACTTTGAAAAGCTACAGAAGGGCTGGCCCAGTGGCACACTGGAGAGTGCACCGCTTGGGAGCGCGGCGGCGCTCCCGCTGAGGGTACAGATCCCATGTGGAAACTGGTTCCCGCTCGCTGGCTGAGCGAGGTGCGGGCGCAACACCGAGGGTTGCGATCCCATTGCCAGTCCCCGGTATGGGCGCGACACCAAGGGTTGCGATCCCGTTACTGGTCAGTAAAAAAGACAAAAAGGAAAAAAAAAAAGAAAAGAAAAGCTACAGAACAGGTATAAAGGAGCATTAAATAAAAGGCAATACACAGAGGCATCACGAGAGCAGACTTTTAAGACAGAGCATGGGAAGAGAAAAAAAGGAGTGATTAGAACAAAATTAAAAGTCTTCATGCCACACTTGGAGTTTGAACTTGGCACTAGAGTGCACGAGTACACCATTACAGGTTTATAAGCAGGAAAAGGAAGTGACCAGATATATTTTTTAAAACTTCACCTATGTTTTAATGCTTTCATAGTTTTATTTTTTAAAATACTGATCCACTTGGAACTTTGTAAATGTTATAATACAAGGCAAAATTATTTAAATTGCAAACATTAGTTGAGTAAACAGTAATACATACTTATCAAAAGGAACTTTAAAGCCTTAAAGAGCTTTGAAACTTCTTTAAAAATTTTAATTTCTAGAAATACAGCAGAATAAACACTCCTTTTTAAAAGACTTTGAAGGGTTTGACTGAATTGTGAAATACTCACTGTGTGGTAAGAAGGACTGAAGAGGCAGAAATCAAAGTCCTATGATTTTGTTTTTTAACATACTGAGAAATGATGTCAGCTGGGAAAAAAAATAATGCCTACTGTATACATTTTTACCTCGTTCTCATTTGGTACATTACAAGATGGCCCTTCCACAAATTATTATATGCAGAGAACAACCCTTTTCTAACTTATCCTTTATGTCCGAATGGTCCCGTGACATTAAAGCAATCAGTCAAGGTACGGCATGTCTCAGTGTGAGTCCTTTATTGTCCCGTAAGGTCACGGCACAACTGAGCTCGTGTAGAACAGGTAGTTCTCATTTCTTAACTAGCTGCTCTGCTCTTTCTCTTCCACGTTGAGTACAGTATCCACAGCTATTCCTATGTCCTCCAGCGACCGGCCTCCCTCCACTTCCAGAGGCCTTCTGGGAAAGGAGGTGGAAAGGCCGTACAGGGACGTGTGGTACCCAGTTTTCATCATCCAGTCAAGTAAGACCTAGAAGACAAAATGCTTAGTCTTATCAAATACTGTACACACTTGTGTCCCTCTAGATCACGTGACATTTTATAATTCTGTCACTGTGAAATCATGTCTGCAGAAGTAATGAAACAGAACTTTCACACCTTTCAAAGAGACTTTCTAGAGTTTAAAGGAAAAGAGCATGCCATGAATTCTGACATGCAAGTAACCTTTAATATGTTTTGTTTTGGAGGACGCATAGGGACTACTGGTACCTACAGACACACAGGCATTTAATAATTATGAAAGCCCATCCGTACATAGGGAACGGAAAGAGTATTCGATAAAGAGGTTGAGAACAAAAGGTTAGCATTTAGGAAAAAAATTATATAAAAATCTAAACCAATAGTCCACATCAAAACCACTGAGGAACTTTGACACAATAGACATGTTCAGGCCCCTGAGACTCTGCCTTGTGATAGTCCAATTTTCAATAGGCCATCAAAATAACTTTATAACATTTCCTGTCAGAAAGATTCCCACAATAATGATCAAAATTTCCACTTAAAGTTGCCTAAAAACAATGTCTGCCTCAAAATATGAAATGTTTATTTCAAACAAAAGATGGTTTGTTGCTTTATGGAAAAAGATGGGTGACAGAATGTTCCAGGGAGAAGCTATAGTTTCAAATACAGGTAATCCCTGACCTTCAACTGCTACCCACCTGCTGGGAAAATAGAATAATTTAATCAGGCCATCTCACCTCAGGTCTGGTTGGGAGTGGTGTGGCGCATTCTTTGTAAATAGGTTGTGTGTAGATGGAGTTAGTGTGTACGGGCAGCACCGCCACCTTGGCTAGTGTCTACTGCCTCGGGCATTTGCTGCACAAGGTCGTACTCTCCTCCCTGACCTTCAACTGCTACCCACCTGCTGGGAAAATAGAATAATTTAATCAGGCCATCTCGCCTCAGGTCTGGTTGGGAGTGGTGTGGCGCATTCTTTGTAAATAGGTTGTGTGTAGGTGGAGTTAGTGTGTACGGGCAGCACCGCCACCTTGGCTAGTGTCTACTGCCTCGGGCATTTGCTGCACAAGGTCATACTCTCTGACCTATGGCTCCAAGGACCTTTTGGCCAGTTACTTAGCTCATAGACCTGTGTGTGAGGGGTCTGGGGACCCAGCCTGGCATGTAAGGGGTCTGGGGATCCAGCCTGGCATGTGAAGGGCTTGTGACCCAGTCTGGACAATGGGCTTGAGGGCTCTGTGAGCTCCAGACCCAGCCCTAGCTCGACAATTGGCCCAGTCGGTGCAGGATTACAGGCAGGTGAAAGCCCCATGCCACCACTCGAGAACCTACTGATACTCCACAGAATAAACATACACCCATGTCATACTTTTTAAAGCTCCATAATTTTCTAATATATGGATATGCCTTAATTTAACCAATCCCTACATAAATAAACACTTATACCTTTGAACATTTGTCTTATTTCCATAGAATAAATTCTCATAAATAAAATTAGTGGGTTAAGATATATTTTTAAATATATCAAAAATATAATGGTAAATTCTCCTACAGTAACACTGGTCCAACTTATATTCACATTAACAAGTTATGAGAATCCCTGTTTTCTACACACACCTTCCCAAACTGGGTACTCTTTCTTTTTAATCTTGACAATCTGATAGGTAGAAAACAGTGTCCCTTTTTAATTTGTACTTCATTGATTCTAAGTGAGGCCAAGCATTTTTTTCATATTTTTATCTGTCATTCTATTAAGGTGTTTATCTTTTCCTTGATTTGTGTAAGTTTCTTATAAAAAAAATGACTATCAGACATAAATAGTAAAATACTTTTTCCAACTTTGTCTTTAACTTGATGAACATTTTCTTTATGGAATTTAAAATTTTTTATGCAGTCAAATCCATCAGTATTTTCCATTAAGTTTTATAGCATTCTTGTTATAGAGAGTTACATGCAACAATCAGGACAGAAAATTATTTACATATATTTTTAATGCACACATAATTGTATGTTTAAATATACTTAGAAATGGAAATATACCAAAATATCAGTAATTGCCTTTGGCATCAGACTGCAGGTTAATTCTTTTTCTTTCTATTCTTCTATGTTTTTCAAATTACCAGTAATAAAAACAGTATTGTTTTTAAAAGAAAAATATCTATGAAGACAAAAGGAAATAAGCCCTGAGGAATGATCTGAAAACTACATCCACACACTGGGGCTGAGTTAACAAACCACGGGGACGATGGAAACAGAGTTAATACTGGATGCTCCTAAGGACTTAAGCATGTTACCACCAAACAGTAAAAATGTAACTATAACCAAAACACAACAAAAAAGAAAAAGATCGCAAAGGGAAGAACTGAACAAAGCTTGAATGCAGAGGTCACAGTTTAGAGGAGCCCAGCAAGCCCAGTTATCTGAATTTCTGCAACAGGGTGTGCATAAATGTCCTTTATCCTCATCTGATGGGAGCATCAGATGACAGCGGGATAATACTGCCCCCACCGCACGTGACTAAACTACTGCCAAATTCAACAAAAATATTCCTCAGAATACAAATTTCCCCACTTACCTGTGAACTGCAAGACTTAAAAAACCTTCTCCTCAGGACACTCCCACTGGGACGGCGAAGAGCAACGGTGACTACCTGAGGAATAAAGGTGTCCAGGTAAGGATTCCAATCCTTGCTCCTGGCGGATTCAAAATCACTATTCCTAGGGAAACATCTATAATTATAAAAGCTCCCAAAAAGCTCTGCAGGAATTCAGCTCTGAGAGCAGCAGACCAACATCAAGGTTCAGATGAAATTCACTCTAAACATGGAAATAATTTTTCTAAAACTGAAAAATAAATGTCTTCCTACTGACCGAGGGGGTCAGTGACAGAGCCTTCCAAAGATGAGGCAGAGATCAAATGCTCCTTGCTGCAGACTGCAGCGGGGCCTCAGAAGTGACCTACCAACCCAAGAAAGCCCAGTGCCACCCCACACTGTACAGACCAGAAAAACTCTAGATTGGAAGGAGACAGAAAGTTACCCCGTGCACTCTATTTCTGTAGGCTGCACGCTGCCTCTGCATCTCCCCACGCAAACGAGAGCTGAGCCTAAGAGCCTGTCCTGGTTGCTAGAGCTCTAACAGACCCCCTCTCCTTGGGGTAGCTCCTGCTTTATCTACTTTACATCTTGAATTTCCCCATAATCTTTCCTTTGATAAAACAGTTAAGCAGCTAAAAACAGCTGGGAAACTGCTAGTAGAGTCATGCATCACTTAGGGACAGGGATGTGTTCTGAGAAATGCGTCTGCAGGTGATTTAGTCCTCCTGTGAGCATCACAGAGTGCACTCACACAAACCTAGGCGGCACAGCCCGGTGTCCCAGGCTACAAACCGGCACAGCATCCTACTGGATTGAAGAGTGTGAGGAAATAAAACAATGGTAAGTACTTGCACAGAAGGAACTTTTCAGCTCCATTATAACCTCAGACCACCCTCGTAGTCATCATGCAACTATATTAAAGGGCATTATAAAAAAAGATGATGAATTAATAATTTATTCTGGTAGTCATTTTTTACCTGTCAGGAAACCCTTTCTTAATGGCTAACATGATCATTAACTGCCCTGGGAGTTATGTGGCCATGATGTCATGTATTATCTTTTAATTCTATTTTTCCACAACCCTTTCCCTCATACAAATGGTGGTTTTACAGCAGCACCTCTCCTTCTCAGGAAAGCCATGTTAGAAAATATTTCTGCCCAAGTGGTTAAAGCGTTTGATTCACCTCCAAATCAGTGTAATGTTGAGGCTTGTTATATGAAAGTTCTGGGGCACTGCTATTACTTATAGTAATGAAAAGGTTTATAATAAAACAAAGAAATCACAAAATAACTGAATCACAGATTAAAAGCCAATCTTGCTTATTTTTAGAAACAATAAAATTTAATTTTTACATTGAAGTATGTTTAAGTTGCAATGATCTGACAGAATTAAAGCCAATTGCCTTATGAGAAACTAGGGTTAAAATATAGTAAATTAATGTTTTTCATTATGATTGGATCAATACTTGAGAAAAAGGAACTATTGTTATTTGAAATATTAAAATTGTTCTGCTATTAAGATGCCTGTGAGGGTTGGTTGTGCAATGTCTCCTAATGTCACTGGCCGTGTAGGAGACTGACAAAGGAAAGGACACAATCCTCATGGGCTGCAATCCCATGGAAAGTAAATCAGCATCCCAAACACATACCGTTAAATGAAATCAAAATTTTTTTTTTCCTTTCTGTCTTTTTTCGTGTCCGGCAACGGATCGCAACCCTCAGTGTCGCGCCCGTACCGGACCAGGACCAGCAACGGGATCACAACCCTCGGTGTTG